ATTACAGAGAGAGGTGCGATTGTCTGAAATATTATGACAGTACGTGAAAATTCTCCACAATCCACCTTTTAAACCTCATAATCTCTCTAAATATTCAATGCAATAGCCATAAGCATATTCTCTTTACTACATCTCGACTCACATCATTCATCAGTAAAACTCGAATCCAGCTGGAATCCACCAAAAGTACTCACCTCAAGTAACACGACCTCAGATTGTGTCGTCCCATTGTGACCTACCACCAACGCGTCGTGTCGTTGATGCTTCTCCAAAAATGGAATTTCTTCCAGTCGCATTTTCCCAACCTAAAATTCAAAAATCACTCAAAATATTCCTATCAAATCGCCCTTCATATCACTACAAACCATCACCAAATACTTATCGCTCATCTCCCAACAACACATTCCCCTCAAAAACCCACAAACAAATACAATACAATCCAAAATCTATCCAATATTCCAATCTAAGCGATCGATTCTACCAGAGTATTCGATGCGAAANTCATTGTTTAATAACAAATCAAAATAATACTCTCGTATCACCATCAACACCTCTACTATCATAACAATAATAATTTTATCACCAAATCAATTTCATTACCAACAACAATTTAAAAAACCGCAAACATTCATACAATAACGATATTAACAATCAAACTGAATGTTATGTTACTGAAGACGATGCGATTTAAAAGAACAACCCATTGGCAAGAAATTTCACTGAATAGTATTTGCACACCAACTTAAAATCAATCAAACGATGTCCACACCATCGTGGACATAATGTAGCATCGAGTAAAATAACCAAACTTCAACGCACATAAACAACGAATAAAAACATGAATATGAACGAAACAACCCGTTTCCTAATGATTTTCAGCGATTAAATGAACGAATAAAATTACCCATTCATTATCAATTAAAATCATTTGCGTAAATAACATTCACAATATGCAAAATCTAGCAATATTCATCAGAGAATCAAAACACAAACAAAAAAAACGAATCAGACGTAAAACTGACTGTTTATGAGCAATTGATAACGTAGCAACACAACAAAATCCTAGCAAAGTCACTAATTAAAATTTTTCAAAAA